CCAAAAAACAGCTGACTTTTTTTCTTCAACCATCTTGCAACATTTAGGCCAACATGCATAGACGTGCGCAGCCTATTGCATTAGGGTGTGCACCCTAAAGCACAAACACACACCGCGTGTATATGCATGTGTGTATATATATATATATATATATACATACACACACATATACACGCGGCATACATACATACATATACACACACACACACACACACAAATATATATATATATACACACACATACATACATACACTGCTGTGTGTGTGTGTGTGTGTGTGTGTAAGGGTGCTATGTGTGAGGGTGCTGTTAGTGTGATGTGTGTTGAGGATGCTGTTTGTGTGCTGTGTGTGTGAGGGTGTTTGTGTGTGTGTTTGTTAGGGTCCTGTTAGTGTGCTGTGTGTGTGAGGGTGCTGTGTGTGTGTGTTTGTGAGGGTGCTGTTTCTGTGCTATGTGTGAGAGGGTGCTGTATGTGTGTGAGGGTGCTGTATGTGTGTGGGTGCTGTGTGTGTTTGGGTGCTGTATGTGTGTGAGGGTGCTGTGTGTCTGTGTGTGCTGTATGTGTGTAGGTGCTGTGTGTGTGGGTGTTTGTGCTGTATGTGGGTGGGGGGATTCTTGTTCCTGCTGCTTTCCTTGGTGGTCCAGTGGAGAGTGAACTCTAGCCCCTAAGCAACGCTCAGATCTCGCAAGAGGAACCCGGCAGAGCTGCCGGCAATAGCTCCCTGGGTCCTCTCCTGCCTCCCTCACTGCCTGTGGGTTTGTGGGGAGGGAGGCTGAGAGCAGAGCCGGCAGGGGAGATCCTGAGATCTCTCCTGCCGTTCTCACTCCATAGGCGTGCCGCAGGGATTAGGGTATGCCCAGGCACAACAGGCACACCCCGTGCGCACGCCTATGCCAACATGGTCATATTGAGGTAAGTGCAATTGGTTGATTTTTTTCACCCAGTTCACCACAAGTTGTTATTTAGTGAATCGATCTCCTTAATGCTAATGAATGAGACCTCTTGCCGTAGGGGCCCAATAAAACCCACAGACCTGCAGAATGCAGGTTATGATAATTATATTCATCTCAGTGAGTTGGGAAAGCCAGATGTCTCTAGATGTTACAACTACAAAACATTTTTGTATTAAACAGAAAATTAGAGAAATTAAGCAAATTTTATATTAATAAATAGTGCTGCCCCTTCCGATTGTAAAGCGCCCAGAATACGGCAGCTTTCCTCCAACAGCAACAGCAGGATAGGAGCTGGATGCAGCCAGCAGACAAACTCAGGAGCCTCTCTAAAAAAATAAAACTAGTTTAAAAGTATATTTACAAAAAAAAAGGTAAAAAGTAAAAAAAAAAATTGCTCCCACTGGAAGGCTATTCCAGGTATCTACTACCCTTTCTATATCACTGTTACTGCTCCCACTGGAAAGCTATTCCAGGAATCTACTACCCTTTCTATATCACTGATACTGCTCCCTCTGGAAGGCTATTCCAGGTATCTACTACCCTTTCTATATCACTGTTACTGCTCCCACTGGAAGGCTATTCCAGGTATCTACTACCCTTTCTATATCACTGTTACTGCTCCCACTGGAAGGCTATTCCAGGTATCTACTACCCTTTCTATATCACTGTTACTGCTCCCTCTGAAAGGCTATTCCAGGTATCTACTACCCTTTCTATATCACTATTAGCTTTTACCGCTCCCACTGGAAGGCTATTCCAGGTATCTACTACCCTTTCTGTATCACTGTTGCTCCCTCTGGAAGGCTATTCCAGGTATCTACTACCCTTTCTATATCACTGTTACTGCTCCCACTGGAAGGCTATTCCAGGTATCATCTTCCCTTTCTATATCACTGTTACTGATCCCACTGGAAGGCTATTCCAGGTATCTACTACCCTTTCTGTATCACTGTTACTGCTCCCACTGGAAGGATATTCCAGGTATCTACTACCCTTTCTATATCACTGATACTGCTCCCTCTGGAAGGCTATTCCAGGGATCTACTACCCTTTCTATATCACTGTTACTGCTCCCACTGGAAGGCTATTCCAGGTATCTACTACCCTTTCTATATCACTGTTACTGCTCCCACTTGAAGGCTATTCCAGGTATCTACTACCCTTTCTATATCACTGTTACTGCTCCCACTGGAAGGCTATTCCAGGTATCTACTACCCTTGCTATATCACTGTTACTGCTCCCACTGGAAGGCTATTCCAGGTATCTACTACCCTTTCTATATCACTGTTACTGCTCCCACTGGAAGGCTATTCCAGGTATCTACTACCCTTGCTATATCACTGTTACTGCTCCCACTGGAAGGCTATTCCTGGTATCTACTACCCTTTCTATATTACTGTTACCGCTCCCACTGGAAGGCTATTCCTGGTATCCACAACTCTTTATGTATCACTATTAGCCCTTAGTACATCCAATGAACAGGGTGCGTTATAAGAAATAATCGCTGAACTGCTCGTACACGGCTACTTTCCTGATCCATTTAGAATGAGTATTTTTAGCAAATAATATAATTAATAAATATGAATTTGGGCTCTATTGCCATCTGCAGTCTGTTGTGGTGTGTTTGTTTTCTGCCACATTAATAATGTAATGGTTTCAAATAGTCATTATATGGGTTAACCCTTACATTGCTGTCATACTCCCACCAAGGCGTGCTTGAGACCTGAGAAAGATGCCTCTATTACCGCTAAAACAATCTTTTCACATGGGGCAGGAAAGCTCTCATTACGAGCTCCCTCAAAGAACAATCTTCTTATGTTTTTGTTTCATTGTTCGCCTGAGTTTTCTTTTTCGGGGGAAGTTTTTGACAAAGAGAAAGCTGCGTGACCTTTTAACCTTGATTTCATTTTTCACAGGGATGGTGGGGGGTGGTTGAGGGGGGTTGTTCTTTGCCCATTGAGCCAGAAAGGGAGCTAGGGGGGAACACAAAAGACTTTGTAGTGACAAACTTGAGATCCATAAATGTTCCACCCTGAATCCCTTGGGATGTTTAAGGGGAACACAGTGAAAAATCGATGAAATGATTTCTTACATCGCAGCTGAGGATTTTAGGGGTATCTTGACGTATAATCCATCTGTCTTCCTACCATTAGCACTCTGAGCAGTGTAGATCATCGCCCGTTACATCGGCGTTAAAGAGGCAGTCTCCTCCACCTTAACCAAGAACAGTCACATAGGAGATTTGTGCACAAACTAATAGCTACAAATGGGTTCATTTCTAAATTTACTTTGAATGTCTGACTGTCAGGGCTCATCCAGAGCATAATGCAAACTAAATTGAAGGCACACTCCGGGCACCATAACAACATCCTCAGAGTGAAGGAGGTTCCCCTAGTATCAGATTACCTCATGGGGCTAAACCATTAACCCCAAAATCTCAGTGTGGCGCCTGTTAGCTCTGTTGCTGACCATGACATTCTGTTGCAGTCCCAGGCTTGAATTAGGAAGTCTCAGACTGTGATAAAGATATGTATCGTGGTCAGCGGCACTGGATCAACATTTCATTAACTTCTGGCAGTAAGCTGCACCCAGGAACCTCCTCGCGCCGTCAAACTCTCATCCCGATGAAGTTGTTATGGTTCTCAGAGTGTTCGTTTAATCTCTTACAGTGCTGGATTCATGCATGTGGTACTAGTAGAATGGCCACTCATGTGTTTCTCTATAAATGCCAGAACATAGAAGAGTGCGTCTGGTGCACCATAGGGCAGTAATCTAAAACTCTGCACACTGCAAACTGCACCCCTTACACCGCACCCCACATCCCCCCAATCCGCACTCCTCACACAGCATCCCGCACTCTGTACTTCACAACCTGCAAACCGCACTCCTCACACTGCATCCCGCACTCTGCACTCCTCACACTGCATCCCGCACTCTGCACTCCACACCCCGCACTCCTCACACTGCATCCCGCACTCTGCACTCCACACCCCGCACTCCTCACACCGCATTCCGCACCCAATTAAACACATCAATAACTTCTACTCTGTGAGAAAATAAGGTGCGTCTCCAGAATTTATTCTCAGCATAGGATACAAATACCGTATTTTTCTGTGTATAAGACGCCCCCAAATATAAGACGACCCCTATTTTCTGAGCCCAAAATTTAAAAAAAATATATTTTAAACATCAAATAGAGCAACTTTAATATTTTAGAGGTGACTTCTGAGGAGAACAACACACTTCTGATTCTCATGCCTCCCTTGAGCTACGATACTCTGTGAATTTAATTACTATATAGTGCATGCTGGGAGACTACAGCTCCCACAATGCAGCAGGTGGTGTGAGGGCATGCTGGGACATCACAGTAGTATTCCCTCTGTTCCCTGATCCCCATTTCCTCTAAATATAAATCAGAAAGCAAGACCTACCTGCGGTGGAGCAAACCTTAACATGGCTACTCCTTTTGTGGTGTGACATGTCTCTGGAGCTCCGTTGGTGGTACGTGTTGATGTCTACTACAGCTCCCACTTATATAGGGACCTCTTCCTCCTTGCCATAGCATTCAGAAGTCTACAGGCCCTGCTTCATGTCGCTCTGGGCCAATGACCTGGATCCAGATTGGGTTCTAATTGGGAGCGAGCGCAACATGGTCCAAGTTTTTCTATAATACAGACCTGCTCTCACTATGGGGCTGCGGGGCTGGGAGGCCAATTATGTGTGTGGGCCGTGGCACACTAAAACGCGGCAGGTGCCATCTTGGCTTTGGCCCTGATCTCAAGTGTTTTTTTAAACCCCTGCAATGACATTCCGTGTATAAGAAAAACCCCAATTTTAGACTAAACATTTTTTTGAAAAAAAAACAAAGTCTCATACATGAAAAAATACGGTGTATGCAGAATTAATGAACCTTTCCTTTATTTATTTACATCTATATTCATATTAGTAAAAATAGGAAAATTGTCAGGAGCCGATGTTTTATTGCTGACAGAATCGCTGATATTACATTGGCCTTCTCTTTGAATTTGTTGTAGCTAACTCTGATTGCTCCTTCTCCACAACTTTATCTCTAGCATGTTTCGATATTTCATTGGATCCTGACGATACTGTAGATATGTAAACGGACACTGTAGGCACCATGACCACTTCAACTGTTTGAGTGACATGCTTTGTGATTTAGTCACCGTTTATCAGAGATAGACGTAAACTGACCTCGGCTTCACTCCATACTTGGAGTAGTGGGCAGTAGTTGACGAAGTAGCAGCTGAACGCTGTCCTGGTATGAATTGGTATAGGGCAACATATCTGAAATGGAGTCTGGACTGCAGGCTGCCAGGGACCGAGTGTCTCTGCTAATCTTTGGGTAAACCATTTAGCAATAATGCGGCACCCAGAGCCCACGGAAGTTAAAGTGGTCATGGTGCCTACAGTTTATCTTTAACAAATTCTAGCACCTTTCAGAAACAGGTGGATTTATTTTGAGATCATGTGACTCTTTATCATACTCGGCACATTCAAGGATGAATTCCTCAAGGCAATTAGTTGCCAGAGTTTATTTAGGGGTTTCATGACAATGTGACTTAATACTTATTCAATGAACAACGATAAAAACAAATGTTAAATTTGTCATATCCCATTGGACACGCCTAACGATGACATGTTACACGAGCAGTTCTACGGTGGATTTGCTGTGTTGTACTGTTGCGCATGTGTTTACATTAACATACACAAGACGTATACATCTCTTTTTCAGAAGCGACTTTAATATGTAACCAGGCTTTTTCGTTGAGCAATATATTCAAATTATTTTCCTGAAACCCCAGTTTGGGGTCCGCACGGAGAGCTTGCCTTAGAAAACACAGCGGAAAACTGAGACCTGTAGTAAAACATTGCTTCCCGAAAGAAGTGGCTGGGTTTAATCTGCGATACGAGAGCAAAGTGTTGATTAATTATAAATGATGTGAAGATCTGATTATGTGTCATTCCCATTTCCAGAATTTATTTCCAATCTGATTCTTCCTATAAAGAACCTCCTACAGACATTCTGACGCTTTCCACGCCTAATGCACCATGGTGGAATGTTTCCTCCTAGTGAGACACCAGCACAACATGAAGCAATAGCAGACTTTCAATAGTTCACATCTACAAAGGGGGGCCCTTTAATGTTAAGGGTCTGACTGGAGGTGTGAGTGGGAGTGTGGCCAGGTGCAGGGCTGTTCTAACTTACTAATAACAATTTATCCAAATAAAATGTAATTTAGAAGAAGAACAATGTATCTTATGTGCACAGACTGATTTCATAGGCCTGCGCACTAGGTGTGCCGGGTGTGCCTGGGCACACCCTAATCACCGCGGCCTGCGCTATGTGCCTCCATGGGCCGGTGGGGTAATCAAAGATCTTCCTCACTGGCCCACAGACAGGGAGGGAGGCAGGAGAGGACCCGGAGAGCTCTAGCTCGCAGCTCCGCCGGGTTCCTCTCGCGAGGTCGGAGCGTTGCGGCGGCAATGCTCAAATCTTGCGAGAGTGAACTCTAGCCCCGCAGGCTAGAGTTCACTCACCACTGGACCACCAGGGATGGCAGCAGCATGGTCCCCCGTCCCAACAAAAGGTAAGAAGGGAGGGGGGCTATTTCCTAAACGGTCCCCCCTACCCACACAGTCCCTCCAAACAAATACACACACACAGCACCCTTAGACATACACATAGATACTAACAGCATCCTCACACTAACAGCACCCATACACATACAGAACCCTTACACACACACTATCAGCACCCTTAAAAAACAACCCACAAGGCGTTTGTGTTTCAGGGTGCATACCCTTATGCAGGGCCGGACTGGGGAAAGAATTCGGCCCGGGCATTTTTTATTCACAGCGGCCCACTGAAAAAGGGGCGGGGCCAGATAGGGTGTGTTTTGTCATCCCCAATGACAAGCACGCCCCATCTCAAAGTGAGCATGTTGGTTCAATGCTCTTCCAGGGCATGAGAAAAGGGCCCTGTATTTGATCTGCACAGCGCAAGGAAATTTAATAACATGCTTGCAGTGTGTTTGCTTGAAACTTGTCTCAGGGGTTTCCATAATTGGAATACTCACTGTATCCCATTTATGGAGACACTATGTGTTTGCTTAAATGGAATCTAGTGTGTTCATAGGGGATCCTGAGTGTGTATGTCAGAAATGTAGTTTGTGTGTAAGTGATGCAGCGTCTGTGTGTAGGGGATCTAGTGTGTGTTTGAAGGACTCAGGAGTGCGTATAGGAGATCTAGTGAGTGTGTGTGTGAGTGGTGCAGCGTGTTTGGGGGCTGCTGTGTGTGTGAGGGGTGTAGTGTGCATTTGTGAGGAGTATAGTGTGTGTGGGAGGGTGCTGTGTGTGTGTGTGAGGGTGCAGTATGTGTGTGAGGGCGCTGTGCGAGGGTGATGTGCGAGGGTTCTGTGTATTTGAGGGTGCTGTGTGAGTGAGGGTGATGTGTGAGTGAGGGTGATGTGTGTTGGGGTGCTGTGTGTGTTAGGGTGCTGTATGTGTTAGGGTGCTGTGTGTGTGCTAGGGTGCTGTATGTGTGCTAGGTTGCTGTATGTGTTAGGGTGCTGTGTGTGTGTTAGGGTGATGTGTGTGTGTTAGGCTGATGTGTCAATGTTAGGGTGCTGGTGTTAGGGTGCTGTGTGTGTGTTAGGGTGTTGTGTGAGTGTTAGGGTGCTGTGTGTGTGTTAGAGTGATGTGTCAATGTTAGAGTGCTGGTGTTAGGGTGCTGTGTGTGTGTTAGGGTGATGTGTCAATGTTAGGGTGCTGGTGTTAGGGTGCTGTGTGAGTCTTAGGGTGCTGTGTCAATGTTAGGGTGCTGTGTGTTAGGGTGCTGAATGAGGGTGATGTGTGTGTTTGCAAGGATTGAGTATTGCGGGGAGGCAGGTAAATGCCAGTTTTAATGTCTTTTACATTATATCCCCCCCCTCCATTCTTACCTGTAGTCTGGAAGGGGGGGGGGGGGTCGTGCTGCTGCCAGCCATCCCTGGTGGTCCTCATGGTAAGTGAACTCTAGCCCTTTGGGACTAGAGTTCACTCTCGCGAGACCCGGCCGGTTGCCATGGCAACGGTCCGGATCTCGCGAGAGAAACCCGGCGGAGCTGCAAGTTAGAGCTCCGCCGCGTCCTCTCTCCAGGCTGGCTGTCTCCCTCTCTCCCCGCCGGCGGCCGCGTTTGAGAGCATGTGGGCCAGTGAGGGAGATCTTTGATCTCCCCACCGGCCCTGCATAGACCAGCTGGATCTCCCTGGCCCGTGGCCATCGCGGGCCTGCCCTTATGCAATAGGCTTCACACGCCTATGACTGATTTCCAAACACATTTATTGTAGTTTAAAGACACATTACTGGGAGTATTACTGCTGTGGAGCTCTGTGATAAATTCAGACACATTACTGGGAGTATTATTGCTGTGGAACTCTGTTATACATTCAGACATATTACTGGGAGTATTATTACTGGGGAGCTCTGTTATACACTCAGACACATTACTGGGAGTATTAATGCTGTGGAGCGATGTTATACACTCAGACACATTACTGGGAGTATTATTGCTGTGGAGCGATGTTATACACTCAGAAAAAGGGACGGACGGAAGAGGGATTTGGGCTTAAAATAAGGACTTTGCCTCCTAAATAGGGACACTTGGGAGGTATGTAATTTGATTCTTACTTTCTATTCTTCCACAAAATCCCATTGTTTGTGATTGTTCGATATAAATTCTCTTCTTGCAAACCTGGAAAGTGACCCATTCTGCCAGTGCCCTCAAAAGAGGGTTTATTCACTAAAAAATGCTTTTGGTAAATTGCCACTGATTGGCAACATTTAAACATTATTAGAAAACATGGATAAAAACAGACTGTGACGTTACTACCACTGGGATATTGGCCTACATTGTGCAATGGCGTTAATTCATGACAATTCACGGATTGGTGAATAAATCCCAAACAAGAAATATCTACCTGGGAATTGGCTAACTGTGGCCTGCTGGTAGCCCAGCTTCCTCTGTGGATAAGGTTGGAATACAATTCCCAGCATGCTCAGCCAGAGAGACCATCATGCACAGAGGTATGTATTACATAGTTATATAGCTGAAAAGAGACTTGTGTCCATCAAGTTCAACCTTCCTCACATTTGTTTTTGCTGTGATCCAAAGAAAGGCAAAAAACCCAGTCTGAAGCGCTTCCAATAGTTGATCAATAGTCAATGTGTATCAGTGTAAAGTTTCAGGGAAACTAAACTGAGGCAACCTGGTGGATTCAATGGAGCAGGCCTGAAAATGGATGACGTGGGATGTTAAGGAATCCTCTACATCAGTATCTTTATAATTCTATTAATTTGGATACATGATTTGATAGCTATGAATGATGTGGTGCAAAAAGGGGGAAATTATAGTGATATAATGATCCCACAGTGACATCTAGTGTCAATTATACAAATTGCTGACATTTGTATTGCAGTTTTAATGAACACACATAACATTTAACTTCTGCATGTTCAGTGTATTAATTGATCATTCCAGCTAATATTGCAAACTTGTCAGCTTACACAATGCCTGGTGTAGATTCCCAGCCATGCCCTGTACAGATATTACACGTTGAGCAGCAGATTCCCAGCCATGCCCTATTGCCCTGTACAGATATTACACGTTAATCAGCAGATTCCCAGCCATGCCCTGTACAGATATTACACGTTGATCAGCAGATTCCCGGCCATGCCCTGTACAGATATTACACGTTAATCAGCAGATTCCCAGCCATGCCCTGTACAGATATTACACGTTAATCAGCAGATTCCCAGCCATGCCCTGTACAGATATTACACGTTAATCAGCAGATTCACAGCCATGCCCTGTACAGATATTACACGTTAATCAGCAGATTCACAGCCATGCCCTGTACAGATATTACACGTTGATCAGCCGGCCGGCCCTGTACAGATATTACCGTTGATCAGCCAGCCATGCCCTGTACAGATATTACGTTGATCAGCAGATTCCCAGCCATGCCCTGTACACCCAGATATTACCGCGTTAATCAGCAGATTCGGCCGTACCCTGTACAGATATTACGTTGATCAGCAGATTCGGCCATTGCCCTGTGTACCAGATATTACCGCGTTGATCAGCAGATTCCCAGCCATGCCCTGTACAGATATTACACGTTAATCAGCAGATTCCCAGCCATGCCCTGTACAGATATTACATGTTGATCAGCAGATTCCCAGCCATGCCCTGTACAGATATTACACGTAAATCAGCAGATTCCCAGCCATGCCCTGTACAGATATTACACGTTAATCAGCAGATTCCCAGCCATGCCCTGTACAGATATTACACGTTAATCAGCAGATTCCCAGCCATGCCCTGTACAGATATTACACGTTGATCAGCAGATTCCCAGCCATGCCCTGTACAGATATTACACGTAAATCAGCAGATTCCCAGCCATGCCCTGTACAGATATTACACGTTAATCAGCAGATTCCCAGCCATGCCCTGTACAGATATTAAACGTAAATCAGCAGATTCCCAGCCATGCCCTGTACAGATATTATACTTTAATTAACAGATTCCCAGCCATGCCCTGTACAGATATTACACGTTGATCAGCAGATTCCCAGCCATGCCCTGTACAGATATTACACGTTGATCAGCAGATTCCCAGCCATGCCCTGTACAGATATTACACGTTAATCAGCAGATTCCCAGCCATGCCCTGTACAGATATTACACGTTAATCAGCAGATTCCCAGCCATGCCCTGTACAGATATTACACGTTAATCAGCAGATTCCCAGCCATGCCCTGTACAGATATTATACGTTAATCAGCAGATTCCCAGCCATGCCCTGTACAGATATTATACGTTAATCAGCAGATTCACAGCCATGCCCTGTACAGATATTACCGTTGAGTCAAGCAGATTCCGGCCGTACCCTGTACAGATGTACGTTGATCAGCAGATTCCCAGCCATACCTGTACAGATATTACTGCGTTAATCAGCAGATTCCAAGCGTACCCTGTACAGATATTACGTTAATCAGCAGATTCCCAGCCATGCCCTGTACAGATATTACGTTAATCAGCAGATTCCCAGCCATGCCCTGTACAGATATTATCACGTTGATCAAAGCAGATTCCCAGCCATGCCCTGTACAGATATTATACGTTGATCAGCAGATTCCCAGCCATGCCCTGTACAGATATTATACGTTGATCAGCAGATTCCCAGCCATGCCCTGTACAGATATTACACGTTGATCAGCAGATTCCCAGCCATGCCCTGTACAGATATTATACGTTGATCAGCAGATTCCCAGCCATGCCCTGTACAGATATTATACGTTGATCAGCAGATTCCCAGCCATGCCCTGTACAGATATTACACGTTAATCAGCAGATTCCCGGCCATGCCCTGTACAGATATTACATGTTGATCAGCAGATTCCCAGCCATGCCCTGTACAGATATTACACGTAAATCAGCAGATTCCCAGCCATGCCCTGTACAGATATTACACGTTAATCAGCAGATTCCCAGCCATGCCCTGTACAGATATTACACGTTAATCAGCAGAATCCCAGCCATGCCCTGTACAGATATTACACGTTAATCAGCAGATTCACAGCCATGCCCTGTACAGATATTACACGTTAATCAGCAGATTCACAGCCATGCCCTGTATAGATATTATACGTTAACCAGCAGATTCACAGCCATGCCCTGTGCAGATATTATACTTTAATTAACAGATTCCCAGCCATGCCCTGTACAGATATTATACTTTAATTAACAGATTCCCAGCCATGCCCTGTACAGATATTACACGTTGATCAGCAGATTCCCAGCCATGCCCTGTACAGATATTACCCGTTAATCAGCAGATTCCCAGCCATGCCCTGTACAGATATTAAACGTAAATCAGCAGATTCCCAGCCATGCCCTGTACAGATATTATACTTTAATTAACAGATTCCCAGCCATGCCCTGTACAGATATTACACGTTGATCAGCAGATTCCCAGCCATGCCCTGTACAGATATTACACGTTGATCAGCAGATTCCCAGCCATGCCCTGTACAGATATTACACGTTAATCAGCAGATTCCCGGCCATGCCCTGTACAGATATTACATGTTGATCAGCAGATTCCCAGCCATGCCCTGTACAGATATTACACGTAAATCAGCAGATTCCCAGCCATGCCCTGTACAGATATTACACGTTAATCAGCAGATTCCCAGCCATGCCCTGTACAGATATTACACGTTAATCAGCAGAATCCCAGCCATGCCCTGTACAGATATTACACGTTAATCAGCAGATTCACAGCCATGCCCTGTACAGATATTACACGTTAATCAGCAGATTCACAGCCATGCCCTGTATAGATATTATACGTTAACCAGCAGATTCACAGC